CATGGTGAAACCCCGTCTCTACTAAAAATACTAAAAATTAGCTGGGCATGGTGGTGTGTGCCTGTAATCCCAGCTCCTGTACCTACTCAGGAGGCTGAGGCAGGAGAATTGCCTAAACCCAGGAGGCGGAGGTTGCGGTGAGCCGAGATGGCGCCATTGCACTCCAGCCTGGGCAGCAAGAGCGAAACTCCGCCTCAAAAAAAAAATAAATAAATAAAAAATAAAAAAAAGAAACTCCGTCTCAAAAAAATAGTAATAATAAAATAAAAATAAATAAAAAGCAGCTGGGCGCGGTGGCTCAAGCCTGTAATCGCAGCACTTTGGGAGGCCGAGGCGGGTGGATCACGAGGTCGAGAGATCAAGACCATCCTGGTCAACATGGTGAAACCCCGTCTCTACTAAAAACACAAAAAAAATTAGCTGGGCATGGTGGCTCGTGCCTGTAATCCCAGCTACTCAGGAGGCTGAGGCAGGAGAATTGCCTGAACCCAGGAGGCGGAGGTTGCAGTGAGCCGAGATCGCGCCATTGCACTCCAGCCTGGGTAACAAGAGCGAAACTCCGCCTCAAAAAAAAAAAAAAAAAAAAAAAATAAATAAAAAGGTAGTATGTCCTATGTTCCTACCTGCTCTAATTATAACATAATGGTTTTCTGATTGGGTATTTTGAAGTCCTATTGTAATAAGTCAAATGCTAGAGCCGCAAATGAAATAAAACACATTTTGCCGGCCGGGCGCGGTGGCTCACGCCTGTAATCCCAGCACTTTGGGAGGCCAAGGCGGGTGGATCATGAGGTCAAGAGATCGAGACCATCCTGGTCAACGTGGTGAAACCCCATCTCTACTAAAAATACAAAAAATTAGCTGGGCATGGTGGCGTGTGCCTGTAATCCCAGCTACTTGGGAGGCTGAGGTAGGAGAATTGCCTGAACCCAGGAGGTGGAGGTTGTGGTGAGCCAAGACCGTGCCATTGCACTCCAGCCTGGGTAACAAGAGCAAAACTCCGTCTCAAAAAAAAAATAAAAAAATAAAAAAACATTTTGCAAGTATAGGTAAGGGTGTTAACTCAGGAATAAATTATCATTAATTAAACCATCAAGTACTTTGAAGTGGTGACATGGGTATGGTTTCCCTTACAAGTTCGTGTAAGTTTTGATCATTTTTATATAGTATAGGTGCTTGCAAATAGTACAGACTAACCCTGGGGAAAAAAATAGTAGTTTTAACTAAGTTAGCCCAATTCCCCTAAACATCTAGTTAATGATCTAATTAACTGCAAATTTAATCAAATTTAATCCCTTGCTTTTCAAATTATTATTATTATTTTTTAGATGGAGTCTCATTCTGTTGTCCAGGCTGGAGGGCAGTGACACAATCTTGGCTCATTGGAACCTCCACCTCCAGAGTTCAAGTAATTCTTCCACCTCAGCCTCCAGAGTAGCTGGGACTCTGTGCATGCGCCACCATGCCCAGCTAATTTTTTTTTTTTTTTTGTAGAAACAGGGTTTTCCCATGATGGCCAGGTTGGTCTCCAGCTCCTGACCTCAGGTGACCCACCGGCCCTGGCTTCCCAAAGTGCTGGGATTACAGGCATGAGCCACTACGCCCAGTTCAAATTAGTCTTTCTTGGTCTCCTAAATCTAAAATTAAATATGTCTTACTATATTACAAGGAAAAGCTCTACAAAGTTCCCATTTTTCTATCTTGAATAATCTATGCTTCTGTGAAAACAATTTAATTCTCCTCAAACGCCACAATATGTAAGTACCCTGATAAATTCTGGTTCTTGACATTTAGAGGAGCCTTAAGGAGGGGACGCTTTCATTCAATGATATTACTTCCAAAGCCGGGCGCGGTGGCTCAAGCCTGTAATCCCAGCACTTTGGGAGGCCGAGGCGGGTGAATCACGAGGTCGAGAGATCGAGACCATCCTGGTCAACATGGTGAACCCCGTCTCTACTAAAAATACAAAACATTGGCTGGGCATGGTGGCGTGTGCCTGTAATCCCAGCTACTCAGGAGGCTGAGGCAGGAGAATTGCCTGAGCCCAGGAGGCGGAGGTTGCGGTGAGCCGAGATCGCGCCATTGCACTCCAGCCTGGGTAACAAGAGCGAAACTCCATCTCAAAAAAAAATAAAAAATAAAAAAGATATTACTTCTAGTTTGCTGATGGGCAAACTGAGACAGAGGAATCCACTTAGAAAAGTAGAAAAAAGTGGCTGGTTGTGGTGCTCACACCTGTAATCCCAGCACTCAGCACTTTGGGAGGCCGAGGTGGGTGGATCAGGAGTTCAGGAGTTTGAGACCAGCCTCCTGACCAACATGGTGAAATCCCATCTCTAAAAAAAAAAAAAAGAGGCCGGGTGCAGTGGCTCACGCCTGTAATCCGAGCACTTTGGAGGCCAAGGAGGGCGGATCACCTGAGGTCGGGAGTTCAAGACGAGCCCGACCAACATGGTGAAACCCCATCTTAAAAAAAAAAAAAAAAAAATTATAAGAAAAGTAGAAAAAAGTTTCAGAGGCACACATAACTGGGGTTGGGTCACTCAGTACTGTGTGATTTCAGGCAAAGTATTTAACCTCTCTAAACCTATTTCATTATCTGTACAACAGGACTGACAATATCTAACTTGTGGGGCTGTGATAATTAAATCATAGAATACTTGAAAATGCTTAAGCTGTGCTTAATCTGAGTAGGTTTCAGAAAAAGATAGTCATATTGAAGGAAGTGACTAGGGCAAGTCTCCCCACTATCCTTACCCAAAAGTGGCCATCTCTAATAAATGCTTGTATTAAAAATATAGGACATACTTATTTATGACTTTCCAAACAGCTTGTTAAATAAACAAATAACACTGAGCTTTATTTAAAGGTTCCAGCCAGGTGCAGTAGTAGCTCATGCCTATAATCTCAACATTTTGGGAGGCCAAGGTGGGAGGATCACTTGAGGCCAAAAATTCAACACCAGCCTAGGCAACACAGCCAAACACTGTCTCTATAAAAAAATTTAAAAATTAACTGGGTGCCGTCCAGGCGCAGTGGCTCACCCCCGTAATCTCAGCAATTTGGGAGGCTGAGGTGGGCGGATCACAAGGTCAGGAGTTCGGGACCAGCCTGGCCAACATGGTGAAACACATCTCTACTAAAAATACAAAAATTAGCCACACGAGGTGGCAGGCGCCTGTAATCCCAGCTACTTGGGAGGCTAAGGCAGGAGAATTGCTCAAACCCAGGAGACAGAGGTTGCAGTGAGCTGAGACTGCACCATTGCACTCCAGCCTGGGCAACAGTGAGACTGTCTCAAAAAAAAAAAAAAAAAAAAAAAAAATTAGCTGGGTGTGGTGGCTCATGCCTGTAGTCTCACCTACCTGAGAGGCTGACACAGGAACAGTGCTTGAGCCCAAGAATATAGGTTGCAGCAAACTATGATGATGCCACTGTACTCCAATCTGGGAAACAGAACAAGACCCTGTCTCAAAAATACAAAAATAAAAATAAAGATTTCCTTACTATTAAGTGACATTCACTATATTGATGTCAATACATTAACAACATGCAAACTGTCAGAAACTGTAAAAATTTCCCGTTTTTACTGGAAATAAAAACTGGGCCAGGCACAGTGGCTCACGCCTATATCCCAGCACTTTGGGAGGCTGACGGTGGCGGATCACTTGAGGTCAGGAGTTTGAGACCACCCTGACCAACATGGCAAAACTCCGTGTCTCTTGAAAATACAAAAATTAGCTGGACATTGCGACACACATTCCAGCTACTCAGTAGGCTGAGGCAGAATAACCAGAAGAATCATTTGAACCAGGAAGGCAGAGATTGCAGTGAGCGGAGATCTTGCCACTGCACTCCAGCCTGGGTGACTGTCTCAAAAACGAACAAAACTGGAGGAGGGGGCGAGGTGACTCATGCCTGCAATCTCAGCACTTTGGGAGGCTAAGGTGGGAGGGGATCACTTGCACCTAGGAGTTTGAGACCAGCCTGGGCAATATGGTGAGACCCTGTCTCTACAAAAAAATTAAAAATTAGCAGGGCGCAATGGTACATGCCTGTAGTTCAAGCTACACACGAGGTACAGGTGGGAAGATTGCTTGAGCCAAAGAGGTTGAGGGTGCCGTGGCCAAGACTGAGCCACTGCACTTCAGTCTGGGTGACAGAGACCCTGCCTTAAGAAACCAAAAAAATTTCCTCCTGGGCTTGAAGATAAAGCAAACATTCTAGAAGCATTTATTTAAGGCACATTAACCAAGCATCTCATTTGCTACATATATAGAAGGGTACTGTATTAAAATTATGATCTAACCATTGCCTCATTGTGATCCTAAGTCTCTTTGAAACTTAGCCTCTTTAAATGTAAAATAGGAATTTTTAAGAGATGATCTTTTGGGACCCTTCCATCACTGACATTCTTTTATTTGAGATGCAGAGATCTGTGCTCAATCAGGGTTCAGTGGAATGGGATCTAAAGCACTTATTAAGTACATAACTGAGTTTCAACTGTTTTCAACTTCACATCTGATTCCCAAGAATGAAGTAGAAAATAAAGATGTTTGCATGTGGGCTTCCTAGATTGAGTATCTGACACAAGAAAAGCCTGCCAAGAGCCAAGTAAGGCAGCGCGAAGGAGAAGTTGTCTTCCCCCGATACGTCCTTTATCCCTCTGGGTTCAGAGAATACGAGAAAAAACGGATCACTGAGTCTTTTCCAAGCCCTTTCCCTTTACTCTGTAGGCTGATCTCACATCCATGGTCCCTTAGATCCAAGGCTTTTAGGAGCTCGGGTGCTCACAGCCCTGTTCTGAGACTCAGGAACTCGGAGTCCCAAAGCCCGGATCCCGTCCCCACAGAAGCCCCAGCCTTCACTGCCCGCTTCTGTTCCCTTCTAAACTCAAGTTTTCTCCGTGTGCTTCTGCCCCTCAGGAACCTAAGTCTTCGGCTGCCCCGTTTCTGAATCCTTAGGAGCCTGGGTCTTCACGGTCACCGCTCCACTTTTACCTCTCCGGAGCCCGTCTTCACGCCCCATTCCTCTCCGACCCGCTCCTCTTAGGAGTGCGGGTTCTCATAACCCTGTTCCTCTCAGACCGCTTTCCCTGAGATGCTGGAGAACTCACATCCATTCCCGTTCCCTAAGCCCTGTCTAGAGCCCGGGTCCCCACAGCCGCGTCTTCTCCGAGCCAGATCCTCTCAGTCGGTCCCTTCCCGAGAGCCTGAATCCTCACAGCCCCATCTCGTTCACAACCTGGACCTTCCAACAGTGACCCACTGTAGGTCTGGGTCCTGACTCCCTCCTCCCGCTCTTGTTCCTCAACTGCCAGGGCCCAAGACTCACAGGCAGCAGCGTCTATCTCCCCATGATATGCGGAGACTGCCCCAATGTAGCGTTCGTCTCAGCAGCCGGTCCGACTGCGCGGCCCTCCCCGACTACTTCCGGCACCGCTCCCCGCCTCCAACCCGGAAACGCGCGGCTCTTCCGGCAGGCGGGCGCGCGCCTGGCTAGCGCAGGCGCAGGATGCCCTCCGACACGTGGTGGCTGTATTGGGCTGTATGTAGCTAGACACTGCACCTTGCGCTTTTAACTGCCTGTGATTGAGTGGCAACGTGAGCGAGCTCTGCGTCTCCCACCCCAGCGTTAAGAATTCTTCACTAGCTTCTCTTCCCGATTCTGCTTATTTATCTATCGGTAGCAGGACGGGTAATTGACGCCCTCGGACGGCTTTGAGGTCGCCATTTTTGGTTGGTGTCTTTGTCATGGTGTCAGGACCGGGATATCATCTGGGACACGTTATCCCATAGATATCCTGTTGGACCTCAACGAGGAAGTTGGCAGCACAAGAACTGGGAGAAGAGAGAGATCGGTTGGTTGTGCCTGTGAACTGTCAATTCAACAATAGAGTTGAATGCTTACTGTTTGCCAGGAATTATGCTAATCCACTTACCTCCTCCGTTACGCCATTTAATCAGAGGAGACCTGTGAGTGATTAAGCAGAGTTCTAGCTAATAAATGCAGAGCCTCAGCTTGAACTCAGAACTCGCTCCTACGCCAGAGCCTGTCCTGTAGCAATCTCTAATGCTTTCAGTTTTTCAGTTGTCAAATGCTTGACGAGAACTGCTGTATTTTTTACTTGTTGTCCAGGCTGGAATGTTAGGCATGCAAGCAAGAACAATTCCAGCATCTGTAAGGTTCACAGAAGAAGAAGAACCCACAAACACACCAAAAAATTTATAAAGAGCTGTGACAGCCCAGAGTGAGCCACAGTATCTGCCAGCAGGTATCATGAGGACCTACCCAAATTGGTGAGGCATCCTGCCCTGTCTTTATATCTTCCTAATCCTCATCCTATCACACTCCCAATCCACGCTCTTCACTGCCACCCAATCCAAATTCTCAGATTCAAGTCCTCATGAACATTGGGCTCCAAGCCTTACTTCCTTGCCACTGCTCTCCATTCTTTTCAGGGTCTGGCATACCACTTTTTGTTATTGAACGCCTATACCTCTTTTTTAAGACCCAGGTTGAATGAATATGCATTCATTTGACAAGTGTTTATTGAGTCTTCTGTGCCAAGCCTTTTGCTATGTACTGAGTACATAACTGGTGTCTAAGACAGATGATATCCTGGTCCTTAAAAAGTTTGCAACAGGCCGGGCGCGGTGGCTCAAGCCTGTAATCCCAGCACTTTGGGAGGCCGAGGCGGGTGGATCACGAGGTCAAGAGATCAAGACCATCCTGGTCAACATGGTGAAACTCCGTCTCTACTAAAAATACAAAAAAAATTAGCTGGGCATGGTGGCTCATGCCGGTAATCCCAGCTACTCAGGAGGCTGAGGCAGGAGAATTGCCTGAGCCCAGGAGGCGGAGGTTGCGGTGAGCCGAGATCGCGCCATTGCACTCCAGCCTGGGTAACAAGAGCAAAACTCCGTCTCAAAAAAAAAAAAAAATCTGAAAAAAAAGTTTGCAACCTGGGCTGTGCGCAGTGCCTGTAATCCCAGCACTCTGGGAGGCCGAGGTGAGCAGATCACAAGGTCAGTAGTTTGAGACCAGCCTGGCCAATATGGTGAAGCCCAGTCTCTACTAAAAATACAATAAAAAATTAGTTGGGCATGGTGGCGCATGCCTGTAATCCCAGCTACTCAGGAGGTTGAGATAGAATTGTTTAAACTCAGGAGGCAGAGGTTACAATGAGCCGTGATCACACCACTGCACTGCAGTCCAGCCTGGGTGACAGAGCGAGACTCCATCTCAAAAAAAAAAAAGTTTGCAACCTAGAGTGAGAAACAGACCATTAGCAACTGCACAAAAGGGTAAAAGGAGAGAATACCAGAATAAGGCAGACTTATCTAGCTAGCTAAGGGCCTGAGCCATGGTCCTCAGTAAGGAAAGCACTTATTCAAGGACCAAGAAGGCCAAGGTGGTGGGGAGCTTCGGTAACCAGGAAAGACAATGAGTTTGGAGAGGTAGGCAGGGGTTTGTTCTAGTCTGGACCTTTTAGACTAGACTATGATGGGCCCTTGAGATTTTATTCAGTATACAATGGGAAGGTATTGGAAGAACGGTGAAATTATGGTGATTGTTAAAGGAGACAGGTCTCACTTTGTCATCTGGGCTGGAGTGCAGTGGCACAATCATAGATCACCAAAGCCTCAAACTCCTGTGTTTAAGTGAGCCACATCAGTCTCCCAAGTAGATGATTTTTCCTTTTTTTTAATTGAGATGGAGTCTCTGACACCCAGGCTGGAGTGCAACGGTGCCATCTTGGCTCATTACGACCCCCACCTCCCAGGTTCAAGTGATTCTCCTGCCTCAGTCTCCCAAGTAGCTGGGATTACAGGCATCTGCCACCATCCCTGGCTAATTTTTGTATTTCTACTAGAAACAGGGTTTCACGGCCGGGCGTGGTGGCTCAAGCCTGTAATCCCAGCACTTTGGGAGGCCAAGGAGGGTGGATCAAGAGGTCAAGAGATCGAGACCATCCTGGTCAACATGGTGAAACCCCGTCTCTACTAAAAATACAAAAAATTAGCTGGGCATGGTGGCGCGTGCCTGTAATCCCAGCTACTCAGGAGGCTGAGGCAGGAGAATTGCCTGAACCAAGGAGGCGGAGGTTGCGGTGAGCCGAGATTGCGCCATTGCACTCCAGCCTGGGTAACAAGACCAAAACTCTGTCTCAAAAAAAAAAAAAAAAAAGAGGGTTTTACCATGTTGGCCAGGCTGGTCTCGAACTCCTGATTTCAGATGATCCACCTGCCTCAGCCTCCCAAAGTGCTGGGATTACAGGTGTGAACCACCATGCCCCGCCCAATTTCTCTTTTTTCTTTGTTATTTTTTTTAAGAGATAAGGCCGGCGTGGTGGCTCACGCCTGTAATCCCAGCACTTTGGAAGCCAAGGCAGGCAGATCACCTGAGGTCCGGAGTTCAAGACCAGCCTGACCAACATGGTGAAACCCCATCTTTTAAAAAAAAAAAAGAGAGAGAGATAAGGTACTGGGCACAGTGGCTCAGGCCTTTGGCTAGCACTTTGGGAGGCCAAGGTGGGCGGATCACCTGAGGTCAGAAGTTTGAGACCAGCCTGGCCAACATGCGAAACCCACCTCTACTAAAAACAAAAATTAGCCGGGTGTAGTGGCGCATGCCTGTAATCCCAGCTATTTGGGAGGCTGAGGAAGTAGAATTGCTTGAACCTGGGAGGTGGAGGTTGTAGTGAGCCGAGATCGCGCCACTACGCTCCAGCCTACACAACAGAAGCGAGACTCCATCTCAAAAAGAAAAAGAGATAAGGCCAGGCCAGGCACGGTAGCTCACGCCAGTAATCCCAGCACTTTGGGAGGCTCAGGTGGGTGGATCACTTGAGGTCAGGAGTTTGAAACCAGCCTGGCCAACAGGGTGAAACCTGTGTCTACTAAAAATATTAGCCGGGCATGGTGGCGCATGCCTGTAGTCCTAGCTACTCAGGAGGCTGAGGCAGGACAATCGCTTGAACCTGGGATGCAGAGGTTGCAGTGAGCCAAGACCGTGCCACTGCACTCCAACCTGGGCAACAGAGTGAGACTCTGTCTGAAAAAAAAAAAAAAAAAAGAAAAAGGAAAAAAAACAGATAAAGCCAGATGTGGTGGCTTATGCCTTTATAATCCCAACACTTTGGGAGGCCCAGGCAGGAAGATTGCTTGAGCCCAGGAGTTTGACCAGCCTGGGCAACATATGGAGACAACGTCTCTATTTATTTATTTATTTTTTAAAAAGATGGCGTTTCACCACGTTGGTCAGGCTGATCTTGAACTCCCAACCTCAGGTGATCCGCCCGCCGTGGCCTCCAAAGTGCTTGGATTACAGGCGTGAGCCACCACGCCCGGCCCAAGTCTCTATTAAAAAAAAAAAGAAAAAATTAGCCTCAGCATGGTGGTGTGGGCCTGCAGTCCCAGTCACTCTGGAGACTTGACAGGCAAGAGGATCTGCTTGAGCCTAGAAGTTCCAGGCTGCAGTGAGCTATGACTGCACCACTGCACTTCAGCATGGGTGACAGAGTACCCTATGTCAAAAAAAAAAAAAAGAAAGAAAGAAAGAGAAAGAGATTAACACTTAACACTGGTGGATGATAGGAAGAGCAATTGACAGTACCATCTCTGGGCTTCTCACAAGTTTATATAACACATCTGCGGCCGGGCGCGGTGGCTCACGCCTGTAATCCCAGCACTTTGGGAGGCCGAGGCGGGTGGAACACGAGGTCAAGAGATCGAGACCACCCTGGTCAACATGGTGAAACCCCGTCTCTACTAAAAATACAAAAAATTAGCTGGGCATGGTGGCGTGTGCCTGTAATCCCAGCTACTCAGGAGGCTGAGGCAGGAGAATTGCCTGAACCCAGGAGGCGGAGGTTGCGGTGAGCCGAGATCGCGCCATTGCACTCCAGCCTGGGTAACAAGAGCGAAACTCTGTCTCAAAAAAAAAAAAAAAAAAAAAAAAAAAAAACACATCTGCTTCCTATAACAATGTAAGAGCTGTTTATGTATGTCTCTTCTCTTATGACTTCTACTTTGTAAAGAGCAAGGACCTCCACCTATTATTAAAATATATTAAAGAATGTAAATTGGTCAGGCGCGGTGGCTTACACCTGTAATCCCAGCACTTTGGAAGGCCAAATCACTAGGTCAGCAGATCGAGACCATCCTGGCTAACATGGTGAAACCCCATCTCTCCTAGAAATACAAACAATTAGCTGAGCATGGTGGTGGGTGCCTGTAGTCCCAGCTACTTGGGAGGCTGAGGCAGGAGAATCGCTTGAACCAGGGAGGCAGAGGTTGCCGTGAGCCAAGATCACACCACTGTACTCCAGACTGGGCAACAGACCAAGACTCCATCTTTTTTTTTTTTTTTTTTTTTTGAGACAGAGTTTCACTCTTGTTACCCAGGCTGGAGTGCAATGGCGTGATCTCGGCTCAC